CGTTCACAGAAAGTTTCCCTCTGGCATAGTGGAGCCTGTACATTTACACTTCAAAGCCCCTGTAAGCCCTGCTCGGGCATGTGCGCTCTGGTACTGCCACAGTTGATCAGGTGGCCGAAATGGTTACTGAAGGGCTAATGGGTGACAGCATACGCCACAGGGTCGGCTGGAGAAAGAGTGATTTGTTACCGTGGTGGGACAGAAGCATAAAATGTAAAACAAGGGAGTATTTCCGGAGTTTTCCATTTTATATGTTCAGACTATGGTTGACTGAAGGTAAAAGCAAAACCCTGTACGTGCACGTGTGTGTGTGTGTGTGTGAGTACTGTGTGTGCATCTGTGCATCTCTCAGTCCTGGCAGGCAGCATCTTCAGAAACAGCACTTCGCATTTGACGATTGTGTCCCCTCAGTGCCCCCTGCTTAGAGCAGTTTCAGTGTTTGGTAGGTGACGGTGTGACAGCATTACTGGGAGGGTGCGTTAGCTTTTGGCAGAATGTGCTATGTCTCAGGTGCTGTGTAAGGTATTGGTGATGTTGCTGTTTTGTTTATTCCACACAGTTGTCATTGTCCCCTCCACTTTATAGTCAGTGACCGCTTTGAGAAATATTAAGTAGTTCCCCCTTCCACTATGGTACATGACAGTCAGGCTTTGTGGGTTTAATTTTTTAAATTACGTTTTGTTAAATTTGTACACATGTGTGTGTTCATACACACATGTTTGTGTGTGTGTACATGTTCATGCACAGTAAAAGGGTACAGATTGCAGGAATCAGTTCTCTCCTTTTCCATGTGGGACCTAGGGATCTATCTCAGATATTTGGCTTGGTGGCAGGCACCTTTACCCACTGAGCCATCTTGCTGGCCCAGTTTGCGAGTTTTGATACTTCTAGCCTGCTGCCTTGTTCCCCATTACCCATTGTCTAAGCAGCATCTTGCATGAAGCATACTCAGCATGGACTCCGGGATCTCTCATCTTTTGTTCCTCTGTCCCTTCCCAGGCAGCCCATCTCTCTGGTTAGTTACCCTTGTCAGAAACCTTGGTAGCATCACATCTAAAACCCTGCCTCGGATATACCAAATGGCCATAAAAGCTGCGGTGGCTTTAGATCACGCATGGGATTCCCTGCAGTCCGCCTATGCCAGTCCTGGTCTCTCCTGTCCAACTTACTAGCTTCCTTGTTCCCATTTCTGCACCTTACTGTCTTTGCTCAGTCTTCTCAGAGTCAAAGTGTTTCCACTGAAACCCAGGTCAGCCTCCGACCCTAAATTCTCCAGTGATTTCATATCTCTTGGTGGAAGGCACAGGCCCCTGAGAAACTGCCTTCTGTCCTGGCTGCCCTCCTTCCACTGGCCTCCTTGCTGCTCTCCCAAGGTCAGTCACACTTTTGTCTTCAGGCTGTGGCCTTGTCCTTCTTTCCTCTTGGCATGCCCTTGCCCCAGGCCACCATGCAGCTGGACCTCCACTTCGGAGTGCTTCTTGGTTCTCATCTGTGCTCCCTAGCCCTCTCTCTGCTCTGTTTTCTCGGGCATCGCTTGACAGATTGTAGATCTACCTGTTCACCTCTCTCCAGTAGTGCTACACAGGAAGGGCTTGTTCCTTGGCTCTCTAGTGAAGTCAAAGCTTGGACCTGGAACAAAGCCTGGTGCTCTGTAGATGCTTATTAAGTGAGAGAGTAAATCAGTGGGTGACTCAGGCTGCAGCCTTGACTGGGCACACATCTCACATGCTTTTGGTGTTGGCCAGGTGGGACTTGTTTAGTTTCTACTGGTTTTGTAGCTAAAGAACACTTGTTTTCATAAAGGGGATTTGAGTGTAGGAACATAGCAGCTTGTCTCTGTTGTTAGGTAAGCTGTCCTGGTAGTTACTGAGCTATTAAAAGATAGGTAGCATTTCCTGGTAGGAAATAGGTGCTTGTAGTTACTGGGACATTAATAGGCAAGCATCATTTGAGTTCATCTCTAATAGCCATCTCTAAGAGCTAGTGAGACAGGGCTGAAAGTATTCATTCATTTTAAACCTCCCTTCTCTAGTACTGTCAACTACAGTAGAGAATTTTAGATAAGACCAAATGATTCTATTCTCATTCTTTGTAGAATGTATACTTAAAAACAAACAAACAAAAAAAAAATACTTTCCCATCTTTTTTTATATCAGAAAGTCCAGAGTGGTTTTTTTTTGTTTTCTTTTTTGTTATTGTTTGTTTTGTTTTTTCGTTTTTAATGCCTTGGTGAGGAGGACAGAGTAATGATTCTTAGCCCAAGAGCACTTGCTGCCTTGCATAGGACACAGATTCGATTTCCAGCACCAACATGGTGGCACACAGCCATCTGCAACTCCAGTCCCAGAGAGCTGACATCTCCGTTCCATCTTCACAGACACTGCATTCATGTGGTGTACTACATATATGCAGACAAACCCTCGTACAAACAAGATAAGAAATTCCTTAGTTTGGAGGAGTGTCTTTGTGTTAGCCAAAGACTGTTCCATCAGTTATGTATTTACTTGAGAGTGGCAGCCTGTTTTCCTGCATTCCTAGCTGCCTCTCACTAAGACAGCGATGTTGTCACATAGAAAATTAGGAGAGGTCTCATCCAGGCCCTGACCTCTCCCTTGGAGTCCTGAGGCAGCTTCCCCGCATGCCCTAGGATAGACAGAAGGTTCTTTGCCCTGCTTGGCAGGCTATGCCATATTCGTGGACATGGGAAGGGAGTAGGTAATGGGGAGTGCCCTTTGATACAAAATCAACAGTTAAAACATGTTGGTAAAGGTTCAGTGACCACACTGAGTGTTCTAGAACTGATACTTACAAATTGTGTGCAGTTGAGGAAAACGCTGCACCTGCTCCTGATGGTTGTGCTGGTTTCTCTAATGGTGGTTTCTCTGTATAGCAGGCTCTGTCCTGAGAAGGTGAGGGTTTTGACACATTTCTTGTCTTCTCTCTATCCCATGCTCCCCCTCCCATCTCTCCTCCTGTCTCTCAGCTGCGCTCATGCTCTGTGTTGAGTTTGTCAATTTCTGTTCCTCACCAGCTTCCTTAACTCTCTTTAATCCATTCATCCATTCTGAAATTTCTTGCAATCCTTTCTTATCTTCATTCACAACACACTCCTCCGAGGTAGGTACTGATTTCCTGTCTTCTGTTGCCGTGGACTCATGTTCTCTGTGCTCCTGGGATCAGGTGGAGCCAGAGGCAGGGGATTGCCACAGCTGAAAACAAAAGGCAGCACCTGGGGCAGACGGTCACCATTGCTGCTGTCCTTGCAGAGTGACTCCAGGAAGAACAGCTCACATGGGGTGCACGTGCTCAGAATCTGTACTGGGGTCTGCTCCCACCTTCTTCCTGTCTTTGTTAGGCATCAGCTGTGCACCCAAGCACTGTGCAGCCTCCCAGATCAGGTTGTGGTCCTGTGAGGTTCAGCATCCTTTGCTCCTCATGAATAGAAGTTACATGAAGGACAGACACTCAAAACATACAAACTGCATCTCTTGGACATGTTACATATGATAGCCATGGCTGAATATGTTAATGTGTAGCCATCACATAAATTCAGCCATTTTTTTCTATCAGTTTGTTTTAATTACATGTGCATTGGATTTTCTGTTTATTACTAAATGGGATTTTGTAATTCATTATGACTAGAATCTGGCAGGGTGAGAGAACAATGAGTCTTTTCCCAGAGGAGATGGAAATCTCAGGGCATTTGTATAGTCCTCAAGGACATGAAGGATGCCTTGCAAGGCTGAAGCGTTAGGCAGCCTGTGTGCAGAGCAACCTGGGGGATAAAGCCAGCTGAGCAATGATTTCCTAGGTAACTGTAAGAACTGGCTTTTGAGGGAGCCAAGAGAAATCCTTCCCTCTTAAGTACAGGGAATTGGAGAGCAGCCCTCATCTGACCTTGCCCCTTGGAGCTGTGAACCTGATTCCAGAGTGAGGTGTGGAAAGCAAGCCCTTCCTCCACTGGGCACACACTGTGATGCAGTGTGGCCTCTGCTCTGCGAAGTGTGGCTGATGGAGAATTAGTGTATCAGTATCAGCATCTCACCACATGAAGTCTGAGGCTCTACCCCTCGAGACCAACTGACCCTGGATGCCCAAACAGTAACTCCATGTGGTCCTCTTTGGGAGGCTTTGCGAGGATGGCGCGGTGAGATTCCTAGCAATCCCAGCATGTGGAGCACACGTTCTGCCTGTTGGCAAATGTAACTTCTGATCTTCCGATTTTACTGACATTTCAGAAAGTTGAACAGCCGTAAGCCAGTGCTGTGAGGGGTGAGGTGTAATGCGGTGCAGTATTATTATTTGATGATTTGTCTCTCCTCCAAGTTAGCCGTTGAGTTAGAATTCTTACAACATGTAGGAGAAATACTGCCATTTCTTGTAATATATGAAAAAAAAAATTCTCTTTTCTTTAACAGATGCCAGGCTTCTCAGTTCTGGCTGGTTGGCATTATCGTGCCCTGCTATCAGCATAGAGATGGCATTCTGCCCTTTCATTCTTCTTGTTTCCCTCTTGCCATTTGGCTCTGCCCCTCTTACACTTCTCACCCAAACTCCTTTAATTTTCTGCTTATCCCTCTTTTTCAGGCATCTTCTGTTCTCTTTGATGTTCAGCCTTGGGCTGCAGGCCCAGGGGAATGTTGGAGGGGGCGCTTAGTCACAAGCTGGCCTTATCCAATGTCCCTGCACTTCTGACCACATCTCAGGATGCAAAAGTTGAAGGAGGCTGGCTCACAGAGGGCTATTTCTAGGCATGGGGTCCTCTTTTTATTTGCTGTTTAAAGCTGCAGAGAAAGAAAGCCTTGATTTCTCTCTCTCATATTTCCTGAACACAAAAAGACCCCCCAAGTTGTTAACTCTTAAAAATCCCCTGCAAGTTTTTGATATGGTAGAAACTTCAGCTTTTTATTGTCATGTGATCAGAGTAGAGCCTTTTTCCTATGTCGTACATGTTGCTATAACATTCTCTACTTAAAATATCTACTTTTGTTTCGTCACAGCCCAATGATGATCATTACGCAGAAGATCACTAGTTTGGCTTTCGAAATTCATGACGGTAAGAATCCGGAAGTTAATTGTTCATCACAGGCAAGAGCCTTGAGAGATTACCCTAAGTCTGTTCTCTAAAGTGAAAGGGAAGGAAGGAATGGAGAAACAGCTAGCTTTGTTTAAGGTGATGAAAATGTGCTTCCCCCTAAGCCCTGTGTTTTCTCTTGATTTTTAATTCAGTTCAGTGATAAAAGCAAAATAGTCATATGACCCATATAACAGACCTTTGGTCTAAGTCAAGACCTATTTTGTCTTATATTTAAATTGAAACCTGTATACTTCTCCTGCCCTAACCCTTTGTGTTCACATCCATAAACACACATGTCTTCATAGACTTTTAGTGTAAATATGCTCCTGTTTTCTGTGTTTAATACGTGGATATAGGAAGTGCCAGCAGTCAAGACTCCTTGGGTGTTAGCTTGGGTTACTCAGAGGTAGAATGAACAACTCTGCTCAAAGAGTCGTCTGTCTGTCCCCGCATATGTGCAGTACTTCCAAGTCCTGTGCCCACGCCCAGTCCAGGCTCCATATATGGGCAGGGCACAGCCTTGCCAGGACTCCAGGGCAAGGAGGAGTTTTCCTCCTCTTCCGCTTTGCTACTGATGAGCAAAGTTACCTGCTTCTTTTTAGGAGACGTGTACAGAAGGAACAGATTTCCTTCTCATAATCACTGGTCCTTGTTTAATCCCCGCGAGTTCAGCCACAGCTCTCCTTTCTGCCCTTCAGGAAGCAGAGCAGTACTCCCAGAGGCGGCAGGGTGAGGAGTGGGGTGGCCTGAGGGGTCCCACACGCCACATCTCCTGCGTCTGCTTTGGGCCTTTCAACTCCGTGTTCATGGTCAGACCCACTCCGGGGGGGGGGGGGAAGGGCCTTTCTGTGCTTTGTGGCTCATGGACATGTCTTGTAGTTCTTGTGTTCTGAATGGTGATGGGGGCAGAGGTTCCGAGACCCTGGTACTGTGGTCATGAAGCACATACTGTGAATGTGGTAGATGAGGTTATATCCTAAGATTCATGTGTCACACTGACAGGTCTCCCATCGGGCTCTAGAAGGTGAATATAGGAGCATCATGGGTTAGGAATGTCATCTGTCTATAGGTCTAGAAGCCCCTGCTATAATATATATGGAACAGAGCCTGTTCTGTAATCTGGTCTTTGACATAGATCTAGCAAGCAGGTTTTGATTAGCCCTGCCTTGTATGAAGAGCTCAGGTTCTTTAGCTTTGCACATGATGACTCTTCCTGCAAATCGAAGCTTTCCATCTTGGAGAGCCGCTACCCTCTACCTGATGCTTCAAGCTGGTCTCTTGTTTCCTCGGTGACTCTTACAAAAGAGAACACTCTTGTGCGTACTGACACTCTATGCCCGTCGCTAGCTTGGTCTCAGGATGCAATGTGTTGCTGGCTATGTTTTACTCCAGCAAAGGTTCTAAACAGTGCATGACTGACATGCCTGTAGTGAGTGAAGTCCAGAAGAAGCCGGGAGCAAGCTTTTTAGAGTCTCCTCCCAAGGGAGGCAGGGGGAGCCCTGGATCCCCAGCAGCAAGTATGGGAACACCTGTGATGCGTCCTCTGCCAGGAAGTTCATCAGAGCTGGGACCCTGTGTGCTGGCCAGGGGCTGGTCAAGCAGACGCCAGTGCCTGGCAGGTGTCAAAGTGGCAAATTCCTGGCGGGGAAGCAGATGTTGAGAATAAATCCTGTTGGCACAGACAGTTGCAGCCTAGGGAACACCTGTCTCGGTGCAGCGATCATGTGCCTGCCAAGCTCCCGGCACCAGCAATGGATCCTACTTGTAGGCAGGCCAAACTGAACATGTGAACTCTGGGCAGTGGGTCTGGACTCTCTGGGGCTGGTTTTCAGCTGCCAGTTCAATGGCAGCTTCGGGAAGCAGATGCTGTTTTATTTATCTTGGGAAACTTCTAGGTGTGGTTTTTGAGACATCTTGCTCCCCTTACAGAATCCAGCTTCCTTCCCTATTCTTGTTTTAAGTTGTGTGCAGGAGGTTACTGAGGTCTCAGCACTGAGGGATGGCACAAGGTGGCAGTGTGTTTGGTTATGATGGCTGACACGCCGCCTAGTGGATGTGGGACGGGGTAGGGCTTTTTTGTTTGGTTGGTTTGGTTTTTTGCTACAGCTTTCTTGATTTCACTTCACATAGAAGTATATCGGCCCAACTGGGCGCTTGAAATTGATAAGAGGCTATAATTTTAAGAGGCTATAATCTTATTTTAGACTGAACTGTAGTGCTAGCTTAAAATATATCTTAATTTAATCCCCCACACACACTTATTTTGTCATTCTATTTCTGAGTACCCAAATTTTGAACTAAGGCAAAAGCTGGGCTTGTGGACAAAATTATTCTATAAAGGTAATTTCCTCTAACCTATATATTTATTTTCCTTGGTTGGTTTGCAGTTTGAAATGCTAATAGCCTTCCAGGTCAACATAGCAGGGTACATTGGCACAAAAGCCCCACACTATAACAGACACTTAGAAATGCTACACAGGAGGGAATGGGGAGATAGCACGAGGATCTGAGTTCAGATCACCAGCACCCACTAAAGCTTGGCATGGGAACTTATACCCGAAACTCCAGGGACTATGGAGCTCAGACAGGAGGCTCCAGGGCCTTTGCTGGGTAGCCAGTCTAGCCAAAATAACGGGCTGTATGTAAGTTCACTGAGAGACCCCTGTCTCAAAAAAACAAAACACGACAAAACAAAACAAGCAGCTATGGAGAACAGTGGAAGAAGATGCTGGACATTGTCTTCTGGCCTGTCAAGCATGACTGGGCATTCCTACACACAAAGAAATACTGAATAAAACATGACAAAAAGTTTGTATGTAGCAGCACTTGGCATCACAAATGACTCCTAACTTGCCCATTTGCTGGTAAAAGGAAGGAAGTAAGGAGGGAGGGGAAAGGTTTTCAAAAGAACACAGAACCTCGTGTTCTCAGGTAGCCCTCGCTCATATGGAAGGAGCCGGCCTGTCTAGTGGGGAGGACAGAGAGTGTGGAGGTTGGCAGCAGTCCTCTGAGGTTCTTGTGCTCCCCTCTTAGGTGTGATTGCTGAGGTTTGCTCTTGTTTCCACTGTGTAGTTCCCAAAAGTAGGTGCATGCCCCTTGAAAGAAACTTGAAAATATAAAGAACTCTAAGGAAAATATGAGGAATCCCACCTCTGGCAAAGTTCCCCTGAGAGTCAGAGCACCTTCTCAGTCACCTTGACCTCCATCTTTTTCATGGACCTGGGTTTTGTTTTGTTTTTTTCTTATTTTTCAAAATAGATTTACTTTTATTTATGCATATAAAACAAGTGTTCTGCCTGCTTGTGTCTGTGTCACGTGTGTGCTGTGACTGTGGTGACTAGAAGAGGGTACCAGAACCCCTAGGACTGGAGTTACGGATGTTGTGAGCCACCAAGAGTGGGTGCTGGGAGTTGAACTTGGCTCCTCTGCAGGAACAGCCAATTCTGTAAACTGCCGACCCACCAATCCAGACCCTGATTTTTTTCTTCATTGTTGTCAAAATAGATAAGCAATTATCTTCCCTTCCCTAAATATTGAACATATAGGTGATTTATTTTTCTTTTTGCCATTATGCATGAGGTTGTGATGGTCCTGGTCATAATTTCAGATGACACCCTTGATTATTTCCTTAGACTGAAGGCACGGGGTGGCGGTCAGGGCACGGTCTAGGACCAGAGGAGAGAAATGTTTTTCGGGTCTTTGTTCTACCAGCTTACAGGAGTATGACATGGTCCTTCACATTCGTTCAGAGTGTTTTAAGGAAGTTGTAATTCTTGTATCTTTGTCTTATGTACATGTGTCATTCATTCAAATGTGTGTCTGTTACATAACTGAGATCATGCCATGTAAGTAAGAGCCTCTTAAAGTTCTGTGTCCTATGTAAAAATGTCAGCTTGTTCTTTTAACATTTTTGGTGCTTTTGGTTTTTGTTGTTGTAGTTGAGGCTGACCTTGAACTTGACATCATTCTGCTTTGGCCTCCCAGACATTTCTTAACTAATTATGTTTTCATAATTAATCAGGATGTTAACAATGTGTATGTTAATTGGTTGTCTGTATTTCTTTCATTGTTTTCCTTTTCCCTAGTTTTTGTCTGTATCTCAGTGTCTTGTAATGGCTTGAAATATGTCTTTGGGTTTTATTTCCTACAAATGTTTCTAAGTGTATTTGCTTAATTTACTTTCCTTTTGGTCTTTAAATTGAATCTAGTATTTATTCATTCATTCATTTATTTTTGAAGCATGGATCTAGTATTGCTGTAGCGATAGCCTCCTGGTTGAGACAACAGACAAACTAGATGGGTAAAGATGACACATATGGTTCCATCTTTAATCACTGGCATTGCATGAAAACCAGAGCACCACCGCTGTGTTGAATGTCTAGTCCATGGCGCTAAAGTTTAGTCATTGAAATCTTTACGGAGTTCTGATGTCTCTTTTTGAAAAGCCATAGCTCTTTGTGTTAAGGACAGCAAGTTTGTAAGTTAAAAATGGATTAATTTTGGGTATTTTTCTAATTAGTGATAATTTCCTACAGACGAATAATTTCATCTCCCCATTTGTAATACTTAGCATACACAGGGCAAGGCAGGTTGGACCACTTGGTGATCCAGTTTATGACTGGATTTGTGTTGACATGGGAAAGAAAGAGACAATCACTGGGCCCAAACGTGGATGATGGCACGAATTTCAAATGAGGCAAGGGCCATCCTTGAGAGGGAACATAACTCACAAAAGTGCCTCTTTCTGATTCCCAGGGCTGTTCCGAAAGGATGAAGAACTGACTCCGTCGCAGAGGGAACTGGCTGTGAGGTATGTGTCCTTAGATCTCCCAGGGCCTGTGGCACTTCCCTGGGTCATGGAGACCAACTTTCTGCGCCCTGCACAGGCCAGCAATTTCTCTCTGCGGCTCCCACAAGTCCATGCCTGTGGCTCTGCACCGTGCCTGCCTCCCATGAAACAGGAGAGGTCCGCCAGGTTTTCCTCTGTGGGACTCTCAAAGATGGACGGCTTGCCCACAGTTGTAGTGATGGCTGCTCCTAACAGCAGCTGCTGCTCACAGGCAGGCAGTGACTGGATAGCAGGGTTCGGCCGGCGTATTGACGTAGCACCTTTCCTTAAAGAAAACAGTTCCTTTGGAGTAATTGTTTCTAAATACAAAATTAGTGAAGGCACGGCTGCTAGAAGAATGAGACAGTACCCAGATGTGCACCACTGCTGACCTTTTTGACTGCAAGGACACCTCTGCACATCCTCTCTGGGGCTCCCCCTCCTCTCTATGGCCAGTCTCCACAGAGCAGCTCACAGCCGTTGGATAAACTATTTGACAAGCAGTCTGTCGGAGTTAGGGTTTCCTTGCTCTGAAAAGACACCATGACCATGGCAGCTCTTACAAAGGAAAACATTTAATTGGGGCTGGCTTACGGTTTCAGAGGTTCACTCCATTATCATCTTGGTGGGAAGCATGGCAGAGTGCGGGCAGACATGGTGCTGGGGAAGGAGCTGAGATCTAATCTTGATCCACAGGCAGCCGCAGGAGACCGTGCCAGACCAGGCATAGCTTGAGTATAGGAGACCCTAAAGCCCACCTCCACAGTGACACACTTTCTTCAACAAGGCCACACTCTTAAAAGTGCCACTATAGGGCAGTATTAGGGCCAAACATTCAAACACACATGAGTCTGTGGGGGCCATGCCTACTCAAACCACCACACAGTCTGATTGGTTCTTGACTTTTCGCTGTCCTTGGACTACCCCAGACACTGACATTTACAGACATCGGCTTTGATTCTTTTTCCCTCCCAAGCAAACCACCTGGCAGATGGCCAGTCCCAGCTAACCCCAATTCTCTCTACCTGTCTGAAGAGCGGAAGGAAGCTGAGTGGAAAGACACTAACTCTTGCTGGCTGTATTCATCTTTCTCTCTCTCTCTCTCTCTTTTAATCATGGTTTTTGGCGCTAGAGCAATGGCTTAGCTGTTTTTGCTGAGAATAAGGTTGGTCCCCAGCACCCACATGGTGGCTTGACACCAACTTTAACTCCAGCTCCAGGGGATATAACACCCTCTTCTGACTTATTTGGGCACCAGGCACACAGATGGTACACACATACGTGTGGGTAAAACACTCATACATGGGAAATAAAATTAAATCTTAAAAAAAAAAAATCATGGTCCTTTGTGTCAATAACAAGGCAACTACATTTCCTTAATTCTATCTCTCTGAAAAGATTTTATATCCTCCTTTCTCCAGAATTCCAGCCCCACCACCCCTACTCATGACTGAAAGCTGAAATGTCTTATCTCTTTTCCTCAGTAACGGAAAATTGTTCATTAGGGTACCTCCCCCTTTCCCACGCCTACAGCACGTAGGTTGCTGTGTGCTGCTTGACTGGGTGGATCACACCCTGACCCCCAGGACAGCCCGGGTGATCTATAGACCAGGGTGTCAGTCAGCATAGCGGGCAAATAAGATGCTGAGAAGAGCTGCATGAGGCCGCCTGCTGGGAGTCACTGCCGAGGGCAGCTGGGCCCAGGTTCCTCACCCTCTGTCATTCTATAATCCTGAAACCACCAAGCTCCCCGAAGCTGTAACAGAACCCTTCCTTTTCTACTTCTGGGTTTTAAGTGCCCATAATTCAGGGTAGGGCTGCTGGCGTCTCACCTCCGACCTCAGTCAGGTTCATTTTTTTCTTCCTCTTTGTAGGGTCATTATCAGCGTCTCAGGAAGAGGATACCATTGTCGCACAGTCGCGACTAGCCCCCCCCCCCCAGCACTTCTCTGCAGTAGCTCCGCATCCCACGTTTCCGCTCTCTTTTCTCCTCTGCTCCCTGCGGTCATGGATTTCCTTTCTTTCTTGGTTGCCCTTCGTCGTCAGCCTTGTTGGCATGGTGATCAACCACAGTTGATGCAGGCATCACCAGTCCTGCAGTGCCCCTCGCTGGATTCCTGGACACCATGTTCTTCTGCTCGTCTTGGTCTCGGCCTCCTCCCACAACCCTCTGCCCCTCTCCTGTCTGTCTCATCTGTTACTGTACCCCAGAACTTAGATGTGAATTTCTCAGCTCTCCCTAGGTGCGTCCACGTGGTCCAGAGGCATAAGGCCACCAGCTGCACATTCCTACTCAGCCCTCTCCCTCATCTCCAGCTTCCTGTCCCCACTATCAGCTCAGTGTCCTCACCTGGATAGCAATAAGTCTGTTCAAAATGCAGCCTCTGCTTTCTCTCTGTCCCCTGTCATGTGTTTCTCCACCGTGGCCCTTGCTTGCATCATGTCCTCCTGAGGGCTGAGAGGGAGCAGAAGCAGACTTCGTTTTCTTACTGCACGTCCATTCCACTAGCAAGTCCAGTGACCTTCCAGTTGTCTCCAGTCTGGCTGCTTCTCTCCATACCACCGTTGTCATCCTGGTCGTCCTCTAGGTCTAGGAGGCTGCTTTCCTGCTTGCTTTTCTCCCACCTTCTATAGCAGACTTTCTAAGTTGGGTCCAGTGATTCTGTGTGTATGTGTGTATGTGTATGTTGTGTGTATGCATGACATATGCAAGCCAGAGCAGAATGTCAGTGTTAAGTGTGCATGGTTGGGAGGGGAGCTCCAGAATAAGAGTTTGTATGGAAAGAAAAAAGAAAGAAAAGAGCATACTTAGGTTCTGGCCAGCCTCAGAAAGAGAAGGGGGAAAGGAAAAGTTAAACTTTTATGCAGAAAGCTACATAGACCCAACTGAACCTCCAGGTGGCTAGGGATGGGAATTCTCAGAAGGTGAAGTAGAGTATGTAATTAGAAGGATAATAATTTTGCCTGTCTTTTTAGCATGGCTCAAGGTGAGCCTGCTTTTCTAGCATGGCCCCTTGGTCAGGTGATTGACTAACCCATCTGGTTAATTCTTTTATGGTTTTTGTAGCATAGAAGGTTAGGTCTCCTCCCAGGTCAGAACTTTCATCCACATGCCCAGAAGGAACCAGATTTCCTTCTATGGGCCTTTACTGCCACTGTGTCATCGCACCCTCTAAAGAGGTAACCCTAAAATCATTTGGGAGATGGGCTAAAGTTGAAGAGTTGATGTAACCCATTTGGAAGTTGAGAACTCCAGTTTAATACTGACCTGAGGGTCATTTATTGTCTGGACTGGTTGTACATAGCCCCAGGCAGGGCTACTGGCTTCTGAGAAGGTAAGGTGCCAACCAGAGACCCAAGGATGTTTTTGGAACATGTGCGTCAGAGTTCCTGCCCTGAGCTGCCTGTCTAGTTTCTGTCTTCCGTTCTCATTGCACGCAGGTGTCACACACGTGTGGCGTGCCCAGCTCTGTCTATATGTGGGCGCTGGAGATTTGAACTTAGGTTCTCTTGCTTTACATAACAAGCACGTTTACCTACTAAGCCATTTCCTCATCCCCAGAAATTTTTTGAAGAGGCTTTGTTTTGTTTTGTTTGTCTCTTTCTTGATAACAACCCCAATGCTTTCCCAATGTAACAAAACTTCCTGAGTTCTGACCACAGCATCCTCCTGAGAAAGAAGCCCGGAGCTCCACGGCCTTGCCTCAGTTTACCTATTCCTTCCTTATCTTGTTTGGGGGGTGAGAGAACAAGGTTTCATTTTGTAGGTCAGGTTGACTTCAAACTTTCCATTCTGGCATCCCTCCCAAGGACTAGGATGATAGGTGTGTAACACCACACCCAGCCACTCCCTCTTTAACTACGTTGGCTGCCCATCTAAAGCCTCCTTCCCTCCTAGCCCTGCTCTGCCTTCTTCATAATATATGCGCTGTTTGCTTTCATCGGCCCTCTCCCTACCCCAAGTACAAGGCTCTAAGGCTGAGAGCTTTGTCTGCTTCTCATTATGTTCCCATCTCCTAAGTAGCCCAGGAGCCATTTGAGCATGTCTGGAGACACTTCTGGTTGTCGGAGTCTAGAAGGGCTGCCATCTTCCAGGTGCAGGACAGTGCTCAGCAGCAAAGAAATACTGACCCTCAGTGAGGTGAGGCTAAGAACGCCTGGCTGACCTAAAGCAACACACAGTTGATGTCAGGGGACAAAGCAAATCAGCAAGTCTTTCGTGTGATAAGTAAAGGCAAGGACTGAAGTATTAAAGTGACGGTTTGCTTGGCAGTTGAGCCAGAACTTTCTTCAGGAAATTTTGTGACTGAGAAGAATCTTGTCTCGTAGGCACCATGGTGCCTGCCTGTGACCCCAGCACTTAGATGCTGGAAGCACAAGGACCACGAGGTCAGGGTCAGCCTGGGCAACTTTCAACCCTGTCCCAGTATAAAAACAAGAATGAAACCAAGACAGAAAATATAGGTTTGTTCCAGCCTGGGTTGGGCTATATGATGAGGCCCTGGCTTGAAAGTTTAAAAAGGAATAGGATGGCCAGGCATAGTGATTGTTTACCCTTGTAATCCCAGGCACTAGGAGGCCGAAGTAAAAGGACTATTAGGAGTTCCAGGCCGACCTGAACCAGAGTGAGACACTGGACTATGGAGCAAGACTGTCTCAGAAAACTAAACTAGGCTGGAGAGATGGCTGAGCAGTTAAGAGCATTTACTGCTCTTGCAGAGGACCCCGGTGCAGTTCCCAGGACCCGCATGGTGGTGCAACCACCTGTAACTCCAGTTCCAGAGGTCCTGACGCTCTGTTCTGACCTCCTCTGTCTCCTGTATGCTTGTGGTATACATTAATTCATTGCAGGCACACACATGTACATGATAGAGAAATAAATAAATACATACATACATAAATAAATGGGTTTTTTTAAACCACATTAGGAAAAAAAATACAAATGCCACTACTACCACCATCACCCCCCCAAAAAAAAGAAAGAAATATTGGGGAAAAAACAGAAGGAGTTTCCAGTCAGAATGGGGAATGCTATATTGATCCATTGGTGCCTTCTAAATAACCATAATCCCTGCTATATGGGGGTTTTTGCTTCACTTCTTTGTCCACAGAATATTTCCCAAGGAGACCGTTCATGATGCGCAGAGAGGGAGGAGGGCCTCCAGCCCACCAGGGCCTGCTGACTGTGCTCAGGGGTAGTTGCTTTTTCATCTCCGGTGGATGAACTACAATGCCCATGAAGCAGTACACACTGTGTGGCATTTGGACAGGCCTTTGGGCAAAGGAATCAGAACTGTTTTTCGACAGTCTTGTCTCCTGTTTCTCTTGGTTCTCACAACTGACCCATCACCTGACCCCACAGGTGCGCTGTCAGAAGTCACATGCCATGCTGTTCCCAACGCCTCCACTGTGTCCACACACAGGGCCAGAGCGAACCGAAGCTTTTGAAACCTGGCCTTTAAAACCTGACTAGGTTTTCATCTCTTTGAAAATGAGCTCACAGTCTCTTCTGTGGCTTGGGAGCCAGGCCTGTGTGATCTTACCTCAGTTAGCATCTTTTCTCCTGTCTGTGTCTTCATGTTGTGTTGTCAGTCCTGCTATTACTGAGTGTACTCCACCTTGCCCTCATCATTGCCTGGGGTCGTAAAGCACTCGCTCTGGTTAGCCTCTGCCCAGATGTGCTTCACCAAAAGGGCTCTTCTGACTCAGTGACAAGACATCCCTTCCTCTGTGGCACTTAGCATCTCTGAAGATTACATATATTACTATAAATGCACATATATCTTAATATATATATATATAGTCTGTTTTTTTTTTACAACTGGTCTATAACCCCTTGCATGCATTTGCTAACTGGTCTGTCTGCAGCATGCATTTGTTGACTGAGCAGGCAAATGAGAAGTGAGAGATGATTTCTTATGCCACATCACGATCATTTTACATTTCTTTCATTATGAAAAACCTAAGTGAAAACCCTCTGTCATTGCTTGTAAAGATCTTTATGGAAATCCCCTACTGTTCTAGTTTCATTTTTATTGCTCTGTCTCAACAAAAAGCAAGATAGAGGAGAGGGAGGTTTATTTGGCCCATAATTCCAGATTGTAGCTTGTCTCGGTTGGGGTTTCTATTACTGTTATAAAATGTCATGACCAAAAGAACTTGTTTCATTGTACAGCTTTCAGATCACACTCCACTGAGGAAATACAGACAGGAACACAGGCCAGAGCCTGGAGGCAGGAGCTGATGCCGAGACCATGGGGGAGTGACTTACTGACTTGCTCCTCGTGGCTTGCTCAGCCTGTTTATACACCCCAGGACCGCCTGCCCAGGGGTTGCACTGACCACAACAGGCTGGGGCCTCCCACATCAGTCAGTAACTAAGAGAATGTCCCATGGGATTGCCTACAGATGAGTTTTATGGAAGAATGTTCTCAACTGTGGTTGAGATAACCCAGATAACTCTAGCTTGTGTCACCTGGACAAAAGAAAAGTCCAACCAGGACACAGATAGCCTAGCACGGAAGTCACAGTAGCAGTAGCTGGAGCTCACAGCAGCTATTCATATCACCCTGCAGTAAAGAGAGGAGGAAATACATGCAGACACTCACTCTCTCTCAGCTAGCTTCCTTCTGAATGGGTCATTCAGGACTCCCCTCCTAGGGAACAGTGCTCCCCCCGAGATGGGCTGGGTCTTCCTACATAAACAAACGTCAAGATGCTCCCTCACAGGCCAACCTGATCTACAGAATTCTTCATGAAGGCTCTCTTCCCAGGTGAGTGTACACTATGTCAAATCGAAAGCTCAAACTGACAGCACACCATTCAAACATACCGTGAGAATCGCTCCGCTGCAGCCTCCCGAATCCTTATACCGATGCAGGTGAAAGCCGAGGCGTCTTTTATTTTGGAAACAGCAGAGGTAGTGAGCACAGGACTGTCATCTCTGCGGGTCACCCTGAAAGCTCCTGCCACACCTCACAAGTGTATCTTCTCATTGCAGGCGCATGCCAAGTCTGCTGGAGTATGTAAGTTATACCTGCAACTTCATGGGCATCCTGGCAGGCCCGCTCTGCTCTTACAAAGACTACATTACTTTCATTGAAGGCAGGCCATCCCACGTGGCACAGTCCAGTGAAAATGGAAAAGAAGAGCAGCAGCATGATAGGGCAGATCCGTCTCCAAACGTAAGGGCGGGAGATTCATCTGTGATTTATAGCTTCTGCTTGTCTGTCTGGTTTTCTGGGGAAAAAAAAGTCTAATGTTTTCACTTGGCTTAATTTCCCCACCAATTTCTTTCTTTCTTTTTTTCCTTTCTTCATGTGTGTATGCATGAGCGTGTGTGCATGCGTGTGTGTGTGTGTGTGTGTGTGTGTGTGTTGTTAGGGATTGAATCCAGAGCCTTGCTGGGGCCTTGTTCTAATGTATTAAGGCAAATAATTCCACTCCTGAGTTGCATCTCTGTTTTCCATTCCCTTTTCTTTTTTTTTTTTTTTTTTTTTTTTTTTTTTGCCTTTATTGTTTTTAAAATATTTTTGTGTCTGAATGTGTCCTGGGTGTAAGGTACCCATGGGGGGCAAAAGAAGGTACGGGATCCACTAGAGTAGAGACAGTGCTGAGCTGCCCGAGGTGGGTTCTGGGACTGAACTTGGGTCCCCTGGAGCAACAGAACTAAGCTGCCGAGCACCTCTCCAACCCTTGTCATTGTTGAGACAGATTTTACTAATTCAGGAAGCTGACACTCTGAAGCCTGGCCTTGAACTTGTGGTTTCCCTGCCTTCCCCAAGTAGCCAGAGTTAAATGTCTGCACCAGCCACCTGGCCTTTGTCTGTTTCTTTGTAAGTATCTTTCAGGACAAACAATTCTGTATACTCTACCGAGTAGTGTTATCTACTAGAGGCCAAGTCATGGTAAAAGAACAAATATAAGTTAGAAATCTGTATCAGGGGCCGGAGAGACAGCTCAGTGGTTTCAAGCACCGGCTGCTCTTGCAGAGGACCTGGGTTTGATGTCCAAAACCAACATGGTAGCTCATGATAATTCATAACTCTACTTTCAGGGAATCTAATGCCCTCTTCTGAGCTCTGTGAGCACCAGGCACAAACATAGTGTATGTGCAGACAGACAGGGGAAACGGTCATACACATAAAAGAAAGAAATGCAAAACCTTTTAAAAGAAAGAAGACAATTCCTTAGTGAAAATAGTGCTGTCTGATGGTGGGTCGCACATGGCAGGCCCCCTCATGGACTTCTGTGCCCTCCTCACCCAGCCCATTGGAAACACTGGATTCTCCCTTTCTGGATGCGTTCTCTTCCTAATTAGTTACAGTCAAACTCTTGCTCCTGGGTTTGGGGAGATGGCTCAGTGGCTAAAGCACTTGCACATGTGTGAGGACCTTAGTTTGGATCCCCAGAGCCCATGTAATGGTCGTGTCACCACCTGCCTGTAACCGCATCCCTGGAAGGCAGACCCAGGAGATCCCAGAGCAAGCTGGCCAGCAAGACTAGCCGTATCAGGGAGCTCTGGATCTGACCGAGAGACCCTGCCTTGGTGTAGAGTTTGTTGCTGCATTCGGGGTATGCCAGGCGGCAGGGTGCAAAAAATGCAGACAGAGTCCTGTGAGGCTTGTGACTCTTCCCTTCCAGGCAGCAGTTACGGAGAAGCTCTTAGTCTGTGGACTCTCGTTATTGTTTCACTTGACCATCTCCAGCCTGCTACCCGTGGAGTACAACATCGACGAGCATTTCCGAGCCACCGCGTCGTGGCCGGCCAGAGCCACCTATCTCTATGTCTCTCTTTTGGCTGCCAGACCTAAGTACTATTTTGCATGGACCTTAGGTAAGTAGCATGTAGACTTTTCAAGCAGTGTCTTGGGGTGGGGTGTGTGTGTGTGTCTGTGTCTGTATCTGTGTCTGTGTGTGTCTATGCCTTAATGCACCTGCTGCCCTCAAACTGCCCAGTGCAAGCAGCCCACCTGCCTCAGCCTTGCCAGTAGCTGAACCTACAAGCACGCCACTGCGTCCAGCTCAAGAGTGCCCTCTTGAGGATGTAAAAAGACCAAGTCGAACAGTCAGAGTAATTTTAGTGAAGAAATAAACCCTCCAAGTCCATGTTCAAGGCCCATTTTATCGTAAGACAAAAATGAGCGGATACTTGAGGTGGTAACAGGTACTTATCTAATGCCTGTTGCATGCTAGATGCCATGCTGGCTTGAGTGACTCCTAACAAGTATGGCACAGTTCCTGTCTTCAGGGTATCTGTCATTTAGTATGACTTTATTACACTTATCATTACAACACCATTAGATTCATTAGATTATGACCAGAATGTCACCAGTAAAGTGTACAAAATCACGTCAGTTGACGAAGGGTCTGTGACACCCGCCAGATGGAGAAAAGTTTTAGAGAAAAGAGTGTTTAGTTGTGCCTTTAAGGCTGAAGAGGTATGAACGTGCCTGGCCTATGGCTGATGTAGGGGGAGTAAACAGGAAGGATAGTCCTGGGAGGGAGAGACAAGCCTTTCACAAGCCATCCCCTACACTGCTGCACGGCCTGGGCAGGCTTCAGGTGGGCTGATGGGGGTAGCCGTGGCCCATCGTCAACTCCATCTGCAAGGGATTCAGCACTGTACACGTCATCATCACACGAACCTTCTTGGATGTAGCAGCAAACCCCCAGGCTCCTGACACCTCACGGAGGGGGGCTGACGTGACTCGGAGCCTCCTGCCTATGTCTTTTGCCCCTACTCACTGCATCGAAGCCTCTCTGTTCTGAAGACCTGTGACCCCCAGCGGACACTTGAACACTACAAAGAGTGCATCACAGAAAGGCTGAGCAGTTGGCACCTGGCATTTCACTGCTGCCTTTATTTTATTACAGTGAAATGTGGTTTGGAACCAGAGTCCATATTTTCAGCCTTTCATACAGAAATGCAATAGTTAAAGTGGCATTAGCATGGTAATTTAATGGTAATCAAAAGATAATTTAATTATATCTTACATTGTAAGAATTTGTTTTGAGACAGGGTCCTTCTTTGCATCCCAAGCTGACCTCAATCTCCAGGTTCTTCCTCAGTTTTTGAGATACTAGCCATGAGATGCTTGTACTATCATGCCTGGCCTTGTGTGCATTTAAACTAATACTGCCTTGATGCTATCTTTTAATTTTAGTCAAATTTAAACATTAATACTAAATGAGATTTCTTTTTTATTTTGTTTTGTTTTTTGGGCTTTGGGGGGTTGTTGTTATTGTTTTGTTTTATTTTGTTTGAGACAGGCTTTCTCTGTGAGGCCTTGGCTGTCCTGGAACTCACTGTAGACCATGCTGGCCTTGAATTCACAGAGAACTACCTGCCTCTGCCTCCCGAGTGCTGGGATTAAATGGTATTTTTTAAGATCCTTGTATACCTGTTTAAATGCTGGTTTAAACAGGCACTGATATTCCAAGCCAACTTTGTATTTTCAGTTGTTTGTTTGTTTGTTTCATAGTTGGTGTTGATATTGGTGAGATAGCTCATTGGGTAAAGGCATTTGTTAGCTGCCTGATAACCTGTGTTCAATCCCAGGGACCCACATGGTGGAAGGAAAGGACCAACTCCAAGAAGCTGTCCTCTGACCTCCATGCAGGCACTGTGGTGTGTGTGTGTGTGTGTGTGTGTGTGTGTGTGTGTGTGTGTGTGCACCTACACATACACATGTGAGATATAAATAAATACATATGTACATACATACATACATACACACACGTATAAAGAAATAAATAAAGTATTGTAAAAAATAAGCTTGAGCCGTTGGAGCTGTTAAACTGCTAGCTGCAGGGACACGGGGCTTCTGCTCCCATTTGGATTTGACTGGAGGCCATTGGCAGACTTGTGTGGTGGGAGTGGGGTTCTTCCGATGTTTGTAGCAGATTTTGTCTCTAGTCCTACTAAGCCGGTACATTACTGTATTGATGGAGGCTTATATGTATCTGGCCATTCTTCAGCCTGACACTTCCTTACTTTATAGTAATAAGGAGCAAACCATTTAAGGGTAGGATCCTTCTCTCTGAAGGTGTGGTGTCTTGCTGCATTTTTGATGGGTTTCAGCTAGTTTGGTCATGACACAAACGGTGTGAATTAGAAACACTTTCCAGCTGGGCATGGTGGCACACACCTTTAAGGAGGCAGCGGCTGATGGATTTCTGAGTTTGAGGACAGCCGGAGCTATACAGAGAAACCCTGTCTTAAAAAACAAACTGAAGGGAGGAAGGAAGGGAAAGGAGGAATGGAAGAATGGAAGAAAGGAAAGGAAGAGACACTTGAAACTTCCTATCTTGACTGGGTCTGTAAGCAAAGATGCTGCTGGAACATCAGGGTAAAAGGGTTGAAAAGCAAGTTGTGCAGACAGAGTGGGTTCTGGTCAGCCAAGAAGGAAAGAAATGAAGGCATTGGACCCCACTTACATGTTCTTGTCTGTAATAAAGGCCAAAATGAACATGCTGAGCTCCGGCAGAACATTCCCCAACAATTCCTTCCGGATGGCTGAGCATTCTCCACTGTATTCGAACTTTTCCATTCCACCTGTCTTCATGTGCCTCATGTCTTGTGTCTTGTTATCTAACCAGCTGTCCTTAATCGGGTCATTATTTTCACTCTGTATGATAATGCTTCTAACCTCTCTTAGAAGTTAGAATTAGCCAGGACTGGAGACATGACTCACTGGTTAAGAACACTTGCTGCTCTTCCAGGGGACTTGCGTTTGGTTATAACCACCTGTAACTCCAGCTCTAGGGTTTCCAGTACCCTATTGTGGCCTTCATGGGCACCCCCCCCCAGACACACACAGAGAAATGCACATACATACACATTTAAAGATTAGAATCAGCCATGAACTATGGATTATAGTTCAGTAGAAAAAGACTTGCCTAGAAGGCTCAAGGCCAACCGGTCAGTCTCTGATACTACTAAATCAATAAAAAGTCTCCTTTTACTGCCTAAGAATCAGACATTGCCTATACCTCCTGGGAAATAGAGTAGATTGAAGGGCTGGAGAGATGGCTCAGCAGTTAAGAGCATTTGTCGCAATTGCAGAGGACCCAGGTTCAGTCCCCAGCACCAACATGGTGGTTCTAACACATCAAACATGTGTAACTAGACCAGGCTGGCCTCGAACTCACAGAGCTCTGCCTCCCTCTGCCTCCCCCTGCCTCCCCGAGTGCTGGGATAACAGGCTTGCGCCACACGCCTGCCTTGTGATAATGTTTCTTGACACGTTCCTTTGTGACAGCTGATGCCATTAACAACGCTGCCGGCTTTGGATTCAGAGGCTACGACAGGAGTGGAGTGGCTCGTTGGGACTTAATTTCTAATTTGAGAATTCAGCAAATAGAGGTTAGTAAATGATTAAGATGTTAGTTGCCAATTCAGATGCCACAGTTTGCTTTCATGGGTTGTGGTTTGCTGGCCTGAGAGCACTGCTAATGGGTGATGACCACGGTAGTACCCAGACTATTTTGGTTTGTTTGTTTTTAATAGAATAGAGGATTTATTTGGGCTTCTAGATGTTGGGGTCCATAACGATGGAGTGAGGACATAGTGTGGGACTAGGTCACTGAGAGCACAAAGCAGAGAGTGAACCAGAAATGGTGTGAGTCTCTAAAGTGTTTAATCCACCTCCAGTGACACACTTCCTGCAACAAGACACACCTCTCAAACCTCCCAAACAACACCACTAACCTGGAACCAAGAACTCACATGCATGGGGATGCTTCTCACACATATGGGTTGATGCTTATTTTTATACAAAGAATTAAAGCTGAGCTGGATTCATGGCTGAACGAGGTGCTAAGAGCAAGCTGGGTGCTGGGCATTAAACAGGATACTCACATCACCCCCTTCAGGGCTCATAGAGGAGAGGGGGTGGAAAGAAAGTAAAAGCCAAATGTTAGGGAGGAGGACCATGAAATAACACCCTGACTTTCACCCCATATTTACTGGTGGAGAACCACTCCAGCCTCCAAGGATGCAGTGAGTGAGGCTGGTGACCTGTGGTCCTCAGGAAGCTTCAGAAAGTGCTGGAAAGTAGGTTCTGACCTGGAAGGTGCAGGCATACAATGTTTGTAAATCTGTACTCCATCTTAGTGTAGGCAACAGAGGGAGGTGCATAAAATAAAGATAAATTATCACAGGCAAAGGGGTGGGGGAATGGATAGTTGCTGAAGTAAGGTGGTGAAGGTATTGGTATTTACAACTTTTGACTCTGTAGCGCCCCTCTGAGGACTTTTCCAGCCCTCATGGAGAGACTTAGTTTCCCATATGTGTTTATGCTTATACATAAAAAGGGTAGGATTTTTTTTTTTCATACCTTGAGAACCACATCTTTGGAAGGAGAGATTCGTCCTCCTGAGGACATGAGGCACCGCCTTCTTGGGAATAATTGGAGTGAGAAAAGGGAATCATTGGTTCCCTGAAGGTGGACATAGTGACCATTGCCAAATGCCCCCAGATGTCAACTGAGATGAGGGTTCAGGAGTGCCCCCACTGGTTATGATTTTATTAACAGTTTTCCAGGGAGGGGGAGCATAAAGAGTAGGTGACACAGACCTGAAAGGCTGTAGCAGTGGAGGCCTATACCAGAGAGGGGCCTCAGGACACTTTTGTTTAATTTTTTTTTTTAAATGGAATGACTAAGGGGCTGGAGAGATGGCTCAGTGGCTGAAGGCACTCACTGGTCTTGTAGGGGAGCTGGGTTTAGTTCCCAGCGCCAGGGCCAGGCAGCTCACAACCACCTGTAACTTCAGGAGATACGAAACTCCCCTCAAGCCCCTGTGGGTAACCCTTGTACACATAGGTATATATCCATAGACACACACGTGGAAAGACTAGAATCACTGACTAGAAAGGAGTTTGAAGATGGAGAGTATGACAGAGAGGAGGGAGAGACTCTGGCTATGTGAGGTCCTTGTGCATGGGGGAAGGAGATACATGGGAAGGACAGGTGGCCACGGTAGGCCTAGAGAATGGCACTCCTGAGATGAGGAAGGCAGCTGTGCCGAGGAGCATGGAGTCCAAGGATGAGGATTTAGAGTATGGTGAGCTCTGGCTAGAGGCGGGAGGGTGGGACGGTATCTGTAGATGGGGGCTGGGTCACCTCCTCTCAGAGATTCGGGAGAACTCCGAAGTGTTTGGCTCACCCACAGGAAACTGCTGATGTTTACTTCTTTTTTATTTATTCCCCTCCCCCCAACTGTTACATTGTAATAGCTGCTCTCAAGATGGGGACAGTTACCACTGGGTAGATGTAGATTGAGGGCCAGTTACGGCTGAGAACCACACATATGAATGTGAGAGGTCTGAAATGTCACAGCCATGATTCAGATGCTATAAGTGGGGATGGTAGACACCGTCGGACAGAGGGTTTTGATGGGCAGATGAGTAGGAAGGACAACCAGACGAGGACATCAAAGATCTCGATAAGATAAATAGACTGTGAAATCTAAAATGCTGGAAGGGAGCTAGAGACAGCGGCCCACAGTGCTTGACCATGTTCTTAGCATGTGTGGGGCCCTTGGTTTGCTCCCATCATCACTGTAATTGAAGGAGAGGAGAGAAGACACCTGGATGACAACAGACAGTTTGCAGCCCAGAGGTATGCACCAAATGCTAGATTTAGCAAGGTTAGCTTGACCCACAGAGGCATCCTCAGCAAGCAGCCATACTGTGAGAAGTTTTCGGCCCATTGCTCTCTGGAGGCAGTGTGAAGCCAGTGTGTGTGTGTGGGGGGGGGGGGGGAGGAAGGAGTGCTGTGTGGCTGTGGTCTTCCGTCACCTAGAAGGAGGTGGAGTGCTGAGAAGAGGGTGAGGTGGCTGCGCCGCCAGGGTGAGTGCAGAGTGAGGACACCTCTGTCTGTGTCACCTGGGAGAAGATGGCAGTGGCCCCATCCCCCTCCAGTGTTCCCGGACATGTAGAAACTTTCACGGATGATGTTACTGTGTTACAAGAACAGTGTTGAGGAAGGAACCAGTGCCCCTGCCATCATTACCAAGTAATTTTAGTTTTAATTTCGTAACACACTAAAAGCATTATGTGTCTTAAAGCTTCATTATTTTGTTGGCCAAAGAAAATGGTCCCTTTGTTTTTCAGATGTCAACAAGTTTTAAGATGTTTCTCGATAATTGGAATATCCAGACAGCTCTTTGGCTCAAAAGGTATGTTTCTTCAAGAGTCACGCGTGGGCGTGCTTTGGCATTAAGGACTTGAGGCTGAGCTTTCTAACTTTACACTCTCCATTCCTTGTCAGTGTGTTGAGTGACGTGGTCTTGGTTTTACCTAGAGTATGCCATTAGCACCCAGCAAAGCGAGGCACCAGTCATCAAATCAGAACTTCTTGGAACTGAGCCACAGGTATCTCTGTGCTGGTCCACCTCAGCCCGGCTCAGGCCCTGCTGACACACGGGCTAGCCGAGGTCCTCTGTAGCTCCTACTGTCACGCATTGGAGACTTACTATTAAAAACCAACTTGCAACAAACAAGCCAGCCCCTGGGCTTGCCCTGGATTTCTGGGAACTGAACCAACAGCTCTTTCTATGTTGGGCATGGGGCACACACGTAGGACCAAAAGACTCAGTCTCCACTCCACAGTCAGGGCTCACCATATCCTTAAACATCATGCCTGGAGGCTGTGGAGGTGCAGCAGCAGTGAAGAGCATCTGCTGCTTGTGCAAATGCTGAGTGCAATCCTCAGCGTTCACAAGACAGCTCACGCTAGCCCATAACCCCAGCTCCAGAGGCTCCAACATTAACAGGCACCAGTTATGTATGTGAATTATGTGCACACATACATGCAAAATAAAACAAAGCAATCTGGAAAACAACAACAAAAATCTCATAGCCTTTTAAATCTTAAACCTGGAGTGCAAGAACAGCAAGGGCACAGAGGACTGGACTTTGGATGTGTCCCAGAATGTGTGCGGTTGGTGGAATGGCATACACACACTCGTGCGCACGCACGCACGCACGCACACGATGGGTGCCTTAGGCAGGGAGCACCTGAGGTAAAGGGCTGGGAATGGGAGTCCCAAGAGCACAGTGACTCCCAGTGAGCTATACCACACATGCTGTCGTCATTGTGTCTCAGCCAGCCTTCCCAGTGGTTCTGTCTTCGTCAGCTTGAAGCCTACCCTCTACTTTAGGAGAACTAGACTAAGTTTTATAGACTCTCCCAAACTGGAAGTGATCATTTCTGTGATTATGTATAGCAGTAATAAGACAGGAGCCAGGCTTCTGCTGCAAGTCTGACACTTAACGACTGAGCTAGTGGCCAGGAGAAACGCTGTTTGCTTTCCTGTCTCCCCTAACCCTGTCAGCTCGGAGAGGGGCTCTGTGGACTCAGACCCGCTCACTCCTCTTGGCTTCCCGTGTTTTCTATGGTTTTTTAGGGTGTGTTATGAGCGAGCAACCTTCAGCCCAACAATCCAGACATTCTTTCTCTCTGCCATTTGGCATGGGGTCTACCCAGGATACTATCTGACATTTCTAACAGGAGTGTTAATGACATTGGCAGCCCGGGCTGTAAGTATCAACACTTTTGTCTTATAATTCAGCGAGTGAATCTCTCTGTGATCAGCACCATCTGCGTTATAGAAGTTAGATGTGTGACTGTGCTTGGAAGTGCGTGTTCACCCCAGGCCAGCCTCCACACAACTGTGTACCAGGAGAAGCCATGTGCCTGGCATACGAAAAGTGCTTGAAGCATGTCCTTTGTCTTGATAGCATTTTCTGAATGAGAGAGAGGATGGTCAGAATGGGTAGGACTGTCCTAAAACATTTGTCTCCTGCGGGATGTAACCCTTGAGTCCGCTCGGTTCAGAGTAGAGTATGACCATTCCTGGAGTGGTTCTAGCCACTGAGAATCCTAACTGTTCACTGCTGCGGTTCTGAGGGGATGGGCTGTTCCCTCAGAGGGAGACACCATGGATGTGTCTATTCTGTAGACTATTTGCTGGTGGGAACCCGAAACAGTCCGGGGAAACAATTGAGATAGCTTCATAATGTGGGAGGGGAAAGGAGGATGAGTTGCTGTAAGTACTTAAAAGTCAACTAGAGGGAAATAATGTGTTCAAAAGTGTGTTTTAACAAGCTTATTATAGTGCCTTATGGATTAAAAAAAAAAAAAAAAGCTTCACTTAACAAGCTAGCAGGTACTCATTTTGCTTACCTTGGGAGTCTATGAGGGGAATAGCAAGAAATCGTAGCACAGGACTGTACCGTCAGGTAGTTGAAAGCCTGGCCAGGGGCGGAGGCATGGGTATGTGTGTTCTGTGTGTGCACCTGCACGTGCGTCACGGGGCACAGATACTAGAATTCACGGCTTATCGCTAGCAGGTATCATGAGAGTTTAGGAGAGTCCTCCTGGTTGCGTTTGAGCTCGTTAGGCCAGACTTTGGCTGTGTGTTTTGAAAGATTGAACGTATTTCAATACCAACAGGAGTGTAATGGGGAAAACAATATATCTTAGGAACAGGCAGAACATTAGAAAAGGTCAAATGTATTTGGGAAATGCTGGGTAAATAGAGTTAAAGTGGAGAATTCCCGTATGTAGGATTAGCAGATAGTTCTAGACAGGTAAATGGAAGAAAGGAAGCAGGCAGTGTGAAGGAGCCGTGAGCTTCAGCCCAAAAGCATGGTCCTGTTCTGTCTGTTGCATCAGGGAGTTGGGGAAGGTAGGACTTCTGTTTTGTTTTCTTGGAGCACTGAAGACCGTACCTAGGGCCTTGCAGTGCTAGGTAAGTACTCTGGCCCTGAGCGCCAGCGCCAGCCCTGGGGTGGGGTGGAATGGTGCACAGCCATGCTGGAGGAAATGTTTTTGTTGCTATTAGAATGGATTAGAGAGAGCTAGGCAAGAGGCCGTATGTGCCAGCATTTGGTTCTAGCCACGGAGAATCGTAACCATTCACTAACATAGTTCTGAGGAACCCACATAGCATTTGTAACCAAAGCCATGCTTCACCTTGGAAATGTTAAGACATGTAAAAGAAGGACGAAAAATAAGGCATGTGGTAGAAAGAGAAAATCTTTAAGTTTGTACATTTCAAAGCTGCAACATTTGGCTATTTTGAACTGTTTTGTGAAAAGCTGGGGACGTAGCTGAGTACACTTGCCTAGGATGCACAAGTCTCTAACCATACAACAAACAAACAAATAAGCAAACAAACCTTTTTAAGAGTACCTTCGCAGCTTCCATCGGTAAATGGTGTGTGCGCCCTGATCAGATCTGGGTTCATACATCCTTCCGGTCTTCCACACACTCGGAGGCTGATGGAATACAGCTGCCTCACTCCCTAGTGAGAGGAGAACTTGGCGACCCAGTGAAGGCATACACAGTCTCTAATTTAAACAACTTGAAAGCCACAGAAAAGCTGGAGAGAACTCCCCGAGCCCTCTGCCCAGCCCACCGTTTACTGGCCCCCCACATACATGCATTGCTGTTGTGGGAACCTGCCCTCTCTGGTGGCAGATGCAATTCAAACTCAGACAGCAGGGTGAAGGTGTCACTCCACAGGCCGGAAGTAGTTGCTGTTGCCAGTGTATTTTACATATATAATATTAATCTAAAGATGTAGCAACTTTCCGTGTCTTCGTTTCTTTTCAGGTGAGAAATAACTTTAGGCATTATTTCATTGAACCCCCTCAACTTAAGTTCTTTTATGATATCATCACGTGGGCGGTGACACAGCTGACAATAAGTTACACGGTGGTGCCGTTCGTGCTTCTTTCTATAAAACCATCGTTCACGTTCTACAGGTAAGTTTACTCTCAAGCTGCCGGGAGGATTAGCTGTGATCTCAAAGGAAGTTCCTTCTAATTGAATAGAATAGACATAGAAAGATAATAATGTCCCGGCCTTCTTTCTGCCATTAAATGTATTATCAGTTACTTCTTTTTTTAAAAAAAAGTTTTTTATGAGTGCTCTGATTTCATGGACACCTGCATACCAGAGGAGGACATCAGGTCCCAGTATAGATGGTTGTGAGCCACCATGTAGTTGCTGGGAATTGAACTTAAGACTTCTAGGTAGAGCAGACAGTGCTCTTAACCACTGAGCCATCTCTCCAGTCCCCTAGCAATTACTTCTTAATCCTAAAGCAAGCAGTCCCAAGTCCTGTCATGGATCTCCACTCATCCTGTTCATCGCAAAAGTGGAAGTGGGGCTCCCTCAGTGGTCCCAGCATGGGAACCCACCCCATCTCAGGAAGAGTTAGCCGTAGCCTGACTGTCCTTTTCCTAGAAAAGGAAAGTGGGGCATGCTTTGCCAGTTACTCATTGACTTATAGAAAAGGAAAGTATTTGCACTTACTTGTCTCCTTCACATTCTTTTACGCTTGACTGACAGCTGGGATCCTCTGTGTTTCAGAAGTCGCTGTCTTCAAGTCTGTGTCTTTCATCTCGTCTCCCTGCTCAGTCAGTGTTTGCTTTTCCCGTGTTAGTGACGTCTGTGAGATAAGAAGCTTGATTCTCTCCAACTCTTCATTCCTGTGGGATTTGGAGACTTAGTATGTGGTCAAAGAATTAGATTCCAACATTAGAATCAAGCTTGATGTTCGCATAGGAAAAACAAATAATTAGTGAAAGTGACCATTTTAACAGTTAATTGTTTTAAAATGTGGGTGGGCTGGCTGTTGGATTGTCTATCCCATTTTTCTTCAGTCACTTAAACTTTCAACTTCGGCAGAGTTCAGGTCCCATCAGTCTCAGAGTTCATTTAGGAACTGAGTCCCTGGTGACCTCTCAGAACGGCCTGTATTGAACAGTGCTGATTATCTTCTCTTGATGTTGTTTCAGTCTTGGTTAACTGAGTGAGTGACTGTGGGTTTCTGAGGAGGCCAAGCAGTGACTCCACTCTTTCCTTCATGTCTGGCGCTCTCTGGTGACATGTAATTTTGTTGCTAAGTTCAGAGTGCCACCTCTGTTAAGAAGTACCTTTCCCTTTGTGCCCTGTGTAGCCTCATGACCCTTGCAGAACACTGGGGTATAGGTAGGCCTATATATTCTGAGCTTCAGGGGCAGGTGTGTGTGTGTGTGTGTGTGTGTGTGTGTGTGTGTGTGTGTGTGTGTGT